ATATATAATGAGTCTGGTTGTTACACCCTGTTATTGTTAATGCTGTATATATAACGGGTTGGTTGTTAGAAACACCCTGTATATTGTTAATGCTGTATATATAATGGTTATTGTTAATGCTGTATATATAACGTGGTCTGGTTGTTAGAAACACCCTGTTATTGTTAATGCTGTATATATAATGAGTTTGGTTGTTAGAAACACCCTGTTATTGTTAATGCTGTATATATAATGAGTTTGGTTGTTAGAAACACCCTGTTATTGTTAATGCTGTATATATAACGAGGTTTGGTTGTTAGAAACACCCTGTTATGTTATGCTATTGTTATATATAATGCTGTATATATATATAATGAGGTTGGTTGTTAGAAACACCCTGTTATTGTTAATATATAATGCTGTATATATATATAATGAGGTCTGGTTGTTAGAAACACCCTGTTTATTGTTAATGCTGTATATATAATGAGGTTTGGTTGTTAGAAACACCCTGTTATTGTTAATGCTGTATATATAATGAGTTTGGTATATATAATGCTGTATATATAATGTTTGGTTGTTAGAAACACCCTGTTATTGTTAATGCTGTATATATAATGAGGTGTATATATATAATGAGGTATAACACCCTGTTATTGTTAATGCTGTATATATAATGAGAAACACCCTGTTATTGTTAATGTTGTTGTTAGAAACACCCTGTTATTGTTAATGCTGTATATATAATGAGGTTTGGTTGTTAGAAACACCCTGTTATATTGTTAATGCTGTATATATAATGAGGTGGTTGTCTGGTATATATAATGTTAGAAACACCCTGTTATTGTTAATGCTGTATATATAATGAGTTTGGTTGTTAGAAACACCCTGTTATTGTTAATGCTGTATATATAATGAGTTTGGTTGTTAGAAACACCCTGTTATTGTTAATGCTGTATATATAACGAGTTTGGTTGTTAGAAACACCCTGTTATTGTTAATGCTGTTTATTTAAGGCGTTTGGTTGTTAGAAACACCCTGTTATTGTTAATGCTGTATATATAACGAGTTTGGTTGTTAGAAACACCCTGTTATTGTTAATGCTGTATATATAATGCTTTGGTATATATTGTTAATGCTGTATATATAATGAGGTCTGGTTGTTAGAAACACCCTGTTATTGTTAATGCTGTATATATAATGAGGTCTGGTTGTTAGAAACACCCTGTTATTGTTAATGCTGTATATATAATGAGTTTGGTTGTTAGAAACACCCTGTTATTGTTAATGCTGTATATATAATGAGTTTGGTTGTTAGAAACACCCTGTTATTGTTAATGCTGTATATATAATGAGTTTGGTTGTTAGAAACACCCTGTTATTGTTAATGCTGTATATATAATGAGTTTGGTTGTTAGAAACACCCTGTTATTGTTAATGCTGTATATATCACGAGTTTGGTTGTTAGAAACACCCTGTTATTGTTAATGCTGTATATATAATGAGTTTGGTTGTTAGAAACACCCTGTTATTGTTAATGCTGTATATATAACGTGGTCTGGTTGTTAGAAACACCCTGTTATTGTTAATGCTGTATATATAATGAGGTCTGGTTGTTAGAAACACCCTGTTATTGTTAATGCTGTATATATAATGAGTCTGGTTGTTAGAAACACCCTGTTATTGTTAATGCTGTATATATAATGAGTTTGGTTGTTAGAAACACCCTGTTATTGTTAATGCTGTATATATAATGAGTTTGGTTGTTAGAAACACCCTGTTATTGTTAATGCTGTATATATAATGAGGTCTGGTTGTTAGAAACACCCTGTTATTGTTAATGCTGTATATATAATGAGGTCTGGTTGTTAGAAACACCCTGTTATTGTTAATGCTGTATATATAATGAGGTCTGGTTGTTAGAAACTCCCTGTTATTGTTAATGCTGTATATATAACGTGGTCTGGTTGTTAGAAACACCCTGTTATTGTTAATGCTGTATATATAATGAGTCTGGTTGTTAGAAACACCCTGTTATTGTTAATGCTGTATATATAATGAGTTTGGTTGTTAGAAACACCCTGTTATTGTTAATGCTGTATATATCACGAGTTTGGTTATATAATAGAAACACCCTGTTATTGTTAATGCTGTATATATAATGAGTTTGGTTGTTAGAAACACCCTGTTATTGTTAATGCTGTATATATCACGAGTTTGGTTGTTAGAAACACCCTGTTATTGTTAATGCTGTATATATAATGAGTTTGGTTGTTAGAAACACCCTGTTATTGTTAATGCTGTATATATAATGAGTTTGGTTGTTAGAAACACCCTGTTATTGTTAATGCTGTATATATAATGAGGTCTGGTTGTTAGAAACACCCTGTTATTGTTAATGCTGTATATATCACGAGTTTGGTTGTTAGAAACACCCTGTTATTGTTAATGCTGTATATATCACGAGTTTGGTTGTTAGAAACACCCTGTTATTGTTAATGCTGTATATATCACGAGTTTGGTTGTTAGAAACACCCTGTTATTGTTAATGCTGTATATATAATGAGTTTGGTTGTTAGAAACACCCTGTTATTGTTAATGCTGTATATATCACGAGTTTGGTTGTTAGAAACACCCTGTTATTGTTAATGCTGTATATATAATGAGTTTGGTTGTTAGAAACACCCTGTTATTGTTAATGCTGTATATATAATGAGTTTGGTTGTTAGAAACACCCTGTTATTGTTAATGCTGTATATATAATGAGGTCTGGTTGTTAGAAACACCCTGTTATTGTTAATGCTGTATATATCACGAGTTTGGTTGTTAGAAACACCCTGTTATTGTTAATGCTGTATATATCACGAGTTTGGTTGTTAGAAACACCCTGTTATTGTTAATGCTGTATATATAATGAGTTTGGTTGTTAGAAACACCCTGTTATTGTTAATGCTGTATATATAATGAGTTTGGTTGTTAGAAACTCCCTGTTATTGTTAATGCTGTATATATAAAAAGCTTTGTTTACACTTCAGGATTGTGTGAATTTTGTTATTATTTGATTTTGGAGTCATTGGTATGAAATAAACATGAAAGCGATTGTTTAGCTGTGTGTGCTATTTTATTCAATTGCACATTTTCAGCAACAAACATTCCGCGCGGAAGCCACTGTCGGACACAATATTATTTTAATAAATGTGTCATCTTCGATACTCCATAGGTTACGATCACTGTCGATCTCTTTTTGTCTTGTCCACACGGTATCGCACATGGAATCCTCAATTTTGCTAGAACATGTTTATGAAGTGAAGAGAGCGAAAGTGATTATAACTTCTTGAGTACTAATGTTGCAAATGCTAAGCCGGGATTGGGCACAGAGGAGGACACCGCGACCCTCCTGATGTATCAGTATGCACCAATGAATGAGAGGATCGGTTGTAATCTTCTCTGGTACAGTCTCTCGGTGTATCTCTATTGAAAACCATACATAGAGAGACTGATTAAATAAAGGATGTAAGACTCTATTTCTCACTATCTTAGATAGTGTCTGGTAAAATTTCAATAAATGTAAAATCACAAATGACCTTTATACTCTGACCAATGTTTAATACGCTTATGATCTCTATTTATGTTTTGTTTTCCGTTTAATTTTCAATCAACTATTTTTTATCAAATCGCATGAAATGTGTGATTTTATCGCACAGTTGCGTGCTAGATTCTTATGTTTTAATTTGATATATTCTATAATTATAATACGTTACCATTCAATGCTGTGTTTAAATAGAAACTTTCGCTCCCAGTTAATGACAAGCACATTTACATGGCTACATGGTATTAGTTCAACTGCTAACTAATTACTTTGGACATTATTGTAATGTATGTATCATTTTGTGTTACCCGAAATATCTTCCATGTGTATAAATTTCATAGATTTTGAATGTGTAGTGTTGCATATATCATATGGTATTAACGACGTTCTTTAACTTTTATAAAAAAAATCTCAATATCAGAGAAGAATGACCTTAGTAATTATAATTTTTAGTTTAATGCATTATTTAGTTATAACACATTTGGAGCTAAATGTTATGTTGCAATTGAATGTTCATAATGTAAATCTATCATGTACCATGTGTTTTTACCCAAAACTTTCAAAACAAGTACAAAATAGAGGGCATATTGTTTTACGTTGTCAGTTTGTTTGTCTGTCTGTTTGTTGATTTGTTTGTTTGTTTGCCTGTTGGCAAATTTAACCTTGCCAATAACGGTTGCACCGTAAGAGATTTCATATTTGGCGTGTCCTTTATGATAAGACCTTTCTGGTGGTACCAAAACTTTTGACCATGTGACCTTGACTTTGACCTACATTTGAAAGAAAATAGCATTGGCCTTAACTATTGCATGATGAAGACATAAGTGTTTCACAAAGTGTGCATGCAATTAGCACATGCCTGACACAGTACAATTTTAACGTCCTACTTCAGAATTTTGTTGCAACTGGGAGAATAGCATTTCATAAACATATTTTGTTTTATCGATACATAGGTTTTTCGATGTGTAAACACCCATTTTTCGACCTTAGTCCTCGGTCTTGTCTTGGGTTCATAAATTGGGGTATCTGCCTCAACCAAATCGTATTACAGTTCCATTGATTTGGATAGGTATTCATGAAGTTACAATGCAAGTTATCCATGGGGAAAAACTCTAGAGAAGGATCATTCATTTCACTCTATTAATTATTAGCAGCCACACTATTTCTAGATATCTACCATCAAGATAAAAGATTAAAGCATAGACACACAGTGAATTGCACCTTTCCCTTCGCAATTTACCTTAGCAATTCTCTTCCGGATTTGCTTCCATTTTCAGAATATAGCAGCCTTCCTGTTTTTATTTCAGTTGTCATGACTTTCCATCTGATTTCATCTCTTTTATTGACAGGTGAATGTATGATGGTAAATGCAAAGACAATTTTGACGATTGTAACAGCCGTAACGCTAGTCTCGCTGTTTTTGTTGACGTACATGTTTGAGCGAACATACGTTAAAACAGTTCATTACACGGAATCTGTCAATCAGGAGCCTCAGGTTACCAAACCTATTTGTATATCAAAGAAGAATCTATCCAATGTAGAGAACTTACTCTGTGTGGTTTGTATACATTAATATTAATTACAATAATTGCTAAAAAAAAAACATAAACATATTTTTTCTCTTTTCTTAATCTATGTAATTTCAAGATGAACTGTCCGTATCTATTACTGAATCGTGGCAGATTTGAATTTTAGTAGATTTAATATTTGTGTGAATTTAATATTCATATTAAAATTGTACAAAATACTTGCAAGTGAACAGCACATTTTTATATAAATTCAGATAAGAAAGAGTACAACCAAACAAAAAAATGATTGCATGATGTAGTTTCTATGACGCTTTTAAACCTAGGAGGCGACTAAGGAAAATCCTAAGTGATCGAAAGAAATGTCAGAATCTAGACAGGGATGTGCACTATCCCATAATTCAGTAGATTTCGTAAATCAACATTTGAACAACAAGGTCCTTAAAGTTACGGACATATTGTCTGTCCCCACATCAAGTGATTACAAGATGTTTCCCATTGTAAAGCCTGGGACTAATACAAAATATTATCTGATGATATGAATTAAACTGGCTTGATGGTTCGATATGGTTATTGTTAATGCATAGGCAATTTGGTGTCCTGACTCTTGGGTATCCTCTTTAGCGAATTATTGATATATTAGTACCTATATTGTGTCATGTACGTTTCACCTTGAACGTAGCTGTATGTGAATGGTGCACAATGTGTGAAATGAAAAGCACCTTACATACAAATTTTATATAAAGTATAGCCATACTGTGAATCAAATTGCATCCTAAATCTGTTTTATTCTAGTTTTGTTAACAATATAAAGTGTTGCAATCAAGAAAGTGGCTTAAGAACATCAACATCTGGTCTGTTATTGGAACAGTGTTCCATCAGTGAAAGGAAAACAGAGGTATAATTTAATTGGCGTTTTTTTTAAATTGAAGTGAGCAATTGTCCTGGCTTTGATTTCCACTAACCACCAATCAAAACTATTCAGGAATTTATGTTAAAATTTTGCATTTGACGAAGCACAATAATGGGATCCCAGTAAACGCAACAGGCTGATCTGGATATTTTTCCCCGCTGAAAAAAATAGTCACTTGTTATACTCTGCCATTGTCTGAAATTATTGGTTTATTTCTGTTTTAAAAAGAAACTTGTGTAGGAAATGCAAAATTGTATTATGAAAATAATTTTCTCTTAGTTCCGCCATTTGTTAAATGTGGACGCAGCATGATTTTGATTTGTATTTCCACATCTCTAGGAACATCCACCGTTTATGCCGGAGTACAAAAACCCTTGCTGGCGGAACGTTAATGGACAGCTGAGATGTTTACCTTACTTCATGCTTGTTGGTATGGACAAGTCCGGATCTAGTGATCTGTTTGACCGAATAACCAAGCATCCTGATATTCTAGGAAACTCGGGAATTTTAGGAAAGGAGACATGGTGGTGGAGTTGGATGCGCTACGGTAGGTGATCATACCGGAAATAGAATGACTGTTGATTAATTAACACTGGTATACATACCAAGGAGGATAATAAATATACTTATACACAAGCAAGATAACGGGTTGCTAAGGGACAACTTTGTAATTTTTTTATATTTTGAAATCATATACAAGTAGTTCCATACTCCTTATATAAAAACCGTGACATAATTAAATAATGAAAAAAATTGACATTTTTGGCAATTAAAACCAAGAAACAAGGCAACTTCTATTCGTTCATTGTGAGATTAGTGGCTTGGTGATGTAATATAGTCCTCCTAATAGTGTAGAATCACATATTGATTTAGAACATCTAACTTTTCTCTGGTGGCTGGGCAGGACAAAATATGCTCCATATCTAACAGCTGCCTGACACCATCTTAATCATAAGTAACATTTTTATTATATATTGTTTTGTGTTTGTTTTTGGGAAATGGACAGACATCAGAGCTTCATTTCTTTTCATTTTTAATGTGTAGGCGAAAGAAACAAACAAACAGAAACAAAAAAACAGCTATGTTATCAGTGTCTAAAAGGACGTTGGATCAAAATCAAATGAATATCAGTCTTAAATACTAGCTAATTACCAGTGAAGTTTATTTCCTGTATGAAGCCGCTATTTCGTAAAAAATATCATCGAAAGGTCTTAATTGTCTGATAATGAGCGAAATGATAATAAAAAAAATACAGATATTGTTGTCTTTATTATTTCTTGATAGTGATGAAATGATTGATAATATATATAGATGCGATATATCATGAACTAATGTCTCCAATCAACAGGATTTGATTTGATGAAAGCAGTAAAGATAAGGAATTTTGAAGATTATCTAAACTTCTTCAATAATTCGACACGGGTGATTGATTCGCCAGCTAAGACAGACAAAGACGGATTTCATTTTGCTATTGCGGGTATGTATGATTATTATTATGGTTGTGGTAAGCGTTACCTATAGCCTTTACAATCTTAACTCCCGAAATCCAACATCAGCATTACGTGTTTAATACAATTTGATGGAAAGTGCTTTTTATATTCGCGGATTGGTGCATAGAAAGTTTTCTTTCTTCCTTGTGACAATTGAACCATAATCAGGAAAAGGATACAGGATACATTTGTATATTGCAATTGTATATAAATTTTATCGCAACACAGTAAACGTCTTAACTTGAACTATCAAAATTTAATATGTAAGATTAAATTATTCAAAATTGTGCTAGACATAAGTCAGAGGTTTCATCGTAATGTATCTGCCTGTGTTAATTTAGTACTGACATCTACTGTGAACAATTATGTATTGACCAGTGGCCAGAGACATTCTGTCATTACTGATCTACTACACATGTTCATGTATTAGTCTGTTCCCTGATTATATAAGTCAATTACCTGAAGCCTATCTAAGCAGTATGTATGATGGTCAGTGTAACTTTATCTTGTTGTAAACAGCCGAATCCATTGCCATTTATGTGTGCAAGACCTTGCCCACAACTCATGTTTACTTCAATCCATGTTTACCTGTATTAGTCCTTCATCAGTTAATTAACATGGCTAGTATAAATACGACCACCTTTCTAGCCAGTATGGATCGGTTCCTGAAGGCATGTGGGTGTGTTCCATCTCTAAATAGCCTACATCGCAATAAACCTTCAACACCCGAACAGCGTTTGGATTTCTTCATCTCCACTCATCACCACACCAGAACAAAGTGTCATTTTAAACTGATATCTATTTGTACTCATTGTTTTGTACAATAATATTTTGAGTGAAAATTTGATTAATTTATAATGAATTAATATCTTATGTGTCTAATGGAAGTCTATGGATAGTTCCATAAAATACATTATCATCGTGAATGCACGTACATGTAAAACATACGAATACTATCTAATCCATCAAATATTATCAGAGCGTATGTACTTTCTACAGTATTTATGTAAATGTGTGTTTGGCGTTTCTTATTCGTAGCAGTTTGTCTTACTATCTAAGGCGCCAAAAAATTATGCGTCAAGATCAGTTTTCTTGCCCGACGAATCAAGACGGCCAATGTATTTATGAGACTATAATTTTCGTATAATTTATTGTCAGTTCCCATCACTAAACAATACTCTATCGCATTTGTCTTTTTAAAGCTGAATATAACCGGATACTTAAATATTGCCATCTGATTGATCGAAAACCTTTCGGGTTTCTTTGGATTTCCTGAGAATCGTTGCAATTATATCGACTATAATTATATTCAGGAAACAGCTTATTGTATTGTTTAAATGTTGGTGGTAAAACTGCAGTATTATTTAATCCACAATAACAAGAACATTTTGTGTTTCTAGATTTGAAGAAGTTTCAAGCGTGTTTCCTAATCCAAACTCCATCGTATAAGATATTGCTTTAACTAAATACTACCAATTTCAAAATATTTACAGAGGATATGGGAATGCATTAGATAGTTTCCTTGGTCCAACTTACTGTTTTAAAACAAGAAAATATCAAAGTGAAAGATAAGTCAAGAAAGCTGGACAAAAAGATGAATTTGATTGCCCTAAACTACACAATTCCCAATCTAATTAATATCAGATCTGTCATTCTTCTTCGCACCTGGTTACTTAAAACATATTCTGGCTTGTTCTATAAGCACTGCTTTCTTCTCTGTCGCCATCTTCAAAGCGAACTCAGCTTCTCTTTGTACTCGTCTATCCCGTCTCTACTTTGCTTGTTCCTCTCGTACAAATTTCTACAACTCTGTACCTTCATAGCAAAGTTCCTTTCCAATGGAAATAAGTTCCTGGGGCTTAGACATAGTGGTAAGGAATAGCATCAAAACAAGTGAAAGATAAACTACATAAGACTGAAATGTATTTACCTTGTCTCTTCTTGTCATAACACAAGCGACCCTCAAAGTACACGAGACCACTTACCTGTATGGAAGGTGCTACGTCCAAAAGCTCCTTCAAAGTTCGGGTAAGAACAATGGTCGGAAAGTCAAACAATCTGATATAAATTTATCTCATATGTTCTCATCCAAAAATACTCGGACATCCTTCCGCCAACTTTGTAACGCGAGAGGAGCCTCGGTTTAGCATTCAAGGAAAAAGACCCAAGGAAATCAGAATAATTACATATATGTACAACTAAAAACAGACAAATTCACACTCGCTCTCACACTCTCTATCATCTAGTCACTTATCTCTACTAGTAATGATATACCCTACAGTCTCATTATAGATAGAGGATTGTTGTGGTCATACTTCTCAGTGAATGACAGCAGCTGACCTTGACCCCGATGAAATATAATGCTGGTCGGTCCTGACGCCACTTGATGAAGGTCTGTAAGTCACCTTTTTGCTGGCTCTAGATGGTGCTCATGTCATCTGCCCATCATGTGAAAGTCAATGGACGGCAAAACTACTGATCCGAACACGGGTAAACAGTACCAGTTCTCCCTTTTCGGTTGCACACCGCCCGTGCTCACTCATGTGTTCATACATACGCTCACGTCATCAATTCCCTAACAAAAATATGTTACCACACGCTTGCGTTCTTGACAATAAATGTCTTTAATTAGATTATAATAATCCTTATCAAACGCGGCCCGTTATTCATGTATATCTCTAACCAGCCATTCAATATTTATACAGGAGATGGTACGCCTATGGATGCTTGGGATTTCCGAGGTTGGACTCAGATTCCACAAAACAACGGACTAAAAGAACCGAAAGTTTTAACGCCTGACCTTGTTTATCACGTAAACAAAAATGTGAAGCTAATCATTATAATGAGGGACCCGATAGAAAGGTATGGCTTTATGTTTAACACAGGTCGGTTAACTCACAGATACGTAGGTTTTAATGAATATAACGTAAGTAATCGAAGGAGTGAACACGCTGATTTTAAATATCATATGATCATATGGAATGGTTAATCGTGTGTATTTAAGATTTACAAGAAGACTTCTTAAAAAGTACACGGAAATAAGACCAGGTGTTCCGGAAGAATAAGCGACTTCTGCTTCATCGACGACACCCGTCAGGTAAATTGTGGTCAATCCAATTAAATAATGTCACGTTCTCAAATGAAAACAATGTATACAACGGAGATGACCTACACCAGTGACAGATACGCAAAATATTATCTACCAGTCGAAGAATTCCCTGCACAACAGGTTAGTCATATGATAAAAGGTTTTCAATATGTATGTGATATGTTTATCAGTTTCAAAGCATAAAAATAATTAACAATGCCGTTATAACGTTATTTTTCAGGCTTTATTCCGATTACTATTTCCTGGATCTTGCCGGTAAATCTTCGCTAGCTTTCCATTCATCTGTAGTGACTTCTATTGCCGTGCTGGAAAAATGCCTGAGAGCAAAGTCCATGTTGACATGCTTATCAGACAGAAAAAACCACCTAGCCTGGAATAAAGCTGTAAGTATCCGCCAGCACTGAATAGCGTGTACATTATAACAAAATGTATTCATGTAAACATCATGGCAGTAATACCGTCAGGGAAAAGTTGTTACAAATATTTTATATGAGCAGACAAAGAAAAAAGAAAGAAAGAACGACAGAGAGACAGACGGACATATAGATAGATAGATATCGCAACTAAAATTTCATATAGAAAGTCTTTTATTGTTTTGTTTGTTAGGCTCGAATTCATGTTGGCTTTTACTCGGAATATATTAAGCAGTGGTTAAGAGTTTTTCCACGTGGACAAATTCTCTTCCTACGTACTGAAGACTACTCAGCTGATATCGGCAGTCACATGGACCAAGTATTCCACTTCCTTGGTACACGTAAGTAGTAACGGTCATGTGCTATTTAAATTGGCATGTCGAAATATTAAATGTGAATTTCTGACAGAATATTTCACTCAGGAAAAAATACTTCTTTTATAAAGTTAAAACGGCCTATTCATTTAATATCTCCCATTCCTCCTGTGGCATGCCGAAAGGTTAGTGTACACGATTCGTCTTCGTTCTACATCTCTGATCACTAAGACCTTTCTTATCGATCTGGAATAAACCTTGCCTGATCAACATGAGTATGACGTTGATCACGCTATACACGAGCGGCGTTGTTGGAATTCAAATAAAAACTCGTAAAATAAGGTTTAAGAAATCAATTGGTCTTTTTCTATCACTACTCTATTTTATAGCAAGGTGTCATCTTAACAATTTGAGGCCATGTTTATTTTAGGTCCACTCACATCATCTGAAATGACGTCATACGGAATCGATTTGAAAGTCAAAAAACATGTGACTAAAAGTAAGTTAAAAAAGGGTCCGATGCTGGAAAAGACAAGAGCATTACTATCTTCACTGTACGATCCATATAACAGAAAACTTGCGGAAATATTAAAAGATGATCGATTCTTATGGAAAGACCAGCGCTCGAAAAATTGCAAACTGCAAGGAAAAGTTACCTGCTGAACAGTAGTCCTGGGTACCAGGTCGACAGACGGATAGGATGGTACAGACATGCCAGTATCAACCACTCGTATGACGTGAACATAATAACATTGGGGGAATGTGGCACTTATTGTCCATACGAAGGCACGTGTTCAATCACGCCATATGTACGGTGTACCAAACGTCCAGATGAAGGCACGTGCTAAAACACGTCATATGTATGCAGTATCAATCGTCCGGACGACACGTGATCAATCACGAAATATGGACATATGTGCGCCGTATCAAACGTCCAGAAAACAAGTAATCAAGCATGACATATGTGCGCCGTATGAAACGTCCAGACCACAAGTAATCAAACATGACATTTGTGCGCCTTATCGAACGTCCAGACCTTAAGTAATCAAACATGACATATGTGCGCTTTATCAAACGTCCAGACCACAAGTAATCAAACACGATATATGTGCGCCTTATCAAACGTCCAGACCACAAGTAATCAAACATGACATTTGTGCGCCTTATCGAACGTCCAGACCTTAAGTAATCAAACATGACATATGTGCGCTTTATCAAACGTCCAGACCACAAGTAATCAAACACGATATATGTGCGCCTTATCAAACGTCCAGACCACAAGTAATCAAACATGACAATGTGCGCCTTATCAAACGTCCAGACCACAAGTAATCAAAATGACATATATGTGCGCCTTATCAAACGCCTAGACCACAAGTAATCAAACATGACATATGTGCGCCTTGTCAAACGTCCAGACCACAAATAATCAAACATGATATATGTGCGCCTTATCAAACGTCCAGACCACAAGTAATCAAACATGACATATGTGCGCCTTATCAAACGTCCAGACCACAAGTAATCAAACATGACATTTGTGCGCCTTATCGAACGTCCAGACCACAAGTAATCAAACATGACATATGTGCGCCTTATCAAACGTCCAGACCACAAGTAATCAAACATGACATATGTGCGCCTTGTCAAACGTCCAGACCTTAAGTAATCAAACATGACATATGTGCGCCTTGTCAAACGTCCAGACCACAAATAATTAAAATGACATATGCGCGCCTTATCAAACGTCCAGACGACAAGTAATCAAACATGACATTTGTGCGCCTTATCGAACGTCCAGACCTTAAGTAATCAAACATGACATATGTGCGCCTTGTCAAACGTCCAGACCACAAATAATTAAAATGACATATGCGCGCCTTATCAAACGTCCAGACCTTAAGTAATCAAACATGACATATGTGCGCCTTGTCAAACGTCCAGACCACAAATAATTAAAATGACATATGCGCGCCTTATCAAACGTCCAGACGACAAGTAATCAAACATGACATATGTGCGCCTTATCAAACGTCCAGACCACAAGTAATCAAACATGACATATGTGCGCCTTATCAAACGTCCAGACCACAAGTAATCAAACATGACATATGCGCGCCTTATCAAACGTCCAGACGACACTTGTTCAATCACGACTAACACTCATAATTATTTCTTTTGATTTATTTATTTATTGTTATATATATATATATATATATATAGACATTGCGTTTTGAGTAACATTAAATACTGTCGACCACGTGTGCTTCAAAACACTGGGCAGATGACTAGTTAGAAGGTGCAATGTTTTTCAGTTAATAGCTCAATGCCATTTCACCAAACAGGAATAATATTTGATACACCCACTTTTATTATCTATACATTTAAAAGTTACCCCCTCACACGTACGCGCGTGCGAACGCATGCACACATACATATACACACTCAATGTAATATTACTAGCCAGTCAAGCAAGGTACATGAAAATTACCTCACTTTAACGAAATTCTGTTAACCCCTGAACTCCCAGCTAAGCATTTCTGCACATTGTGACGTCGGTGTTGGAAAAACTGTCATATCTCCCATATTTGTGGAGGTATTGATTTATTGATTATATCTCATAGATTTGGAGAAAATGCTGAACAACGAAGTTGATTTCAATTTCTCTATCGCGAATTTTCAATTTCTTGATAGTATTATCCCTGTATCTCCAACCTACTGTACTTACATGTCAAAGTTGATTCGATATGCAAGGACATGTTCCTATTATCACGACTTTAATACAAGAAGTCGTCAACTGACGATCAAACTCGTAAGACAAAGAAGATGCAGGTTGATAAAAAGTATTCGGAAGTTTAATTGTCGCCATAATGGTTTCATTGAGAAATATTCTTTTTCTTTATGTGATATGAAGGTGGACGTATTTGATATCCATTAATTTTCAGAACGCGATATTACTGACTTCGATTGACACGAAGGATGTTGTCGTTGGAGCAGAAGACGTTTACTCTTTCGGAACACATGGTTTTATTCTCATTTTACGTTTTCATTTGTCTCCGCGTAAATCATTCTTTTGTTCCTATTTTGCCCTAGTTTTATTGAATTTGAGTTTGGATTATGATTATGTTGACATAAAGGTACTTTCAGTTGTCTAGACATTCAAATGGCAAACCAAGTTTGAACTTCATCATGACAACTAAAATACATACACAGTGACACGTTGAAAAATTAATTTTCACAATTCTACTACACTGAGTTGTTACATCTGAAAATAAATATTCAATAAAGCTTGTAATTTAGACATACATATATATACATCAGAACTTACACAATGTGAATAAAATAACTTTCCATTCAATGCTTCCTGAGATTGTTTTTTACACACAATATTAACGTTCTTAAAAAAATTCAAACTTTGGTTGCCACGGCAACTTTAAAAATCCGAAAACAAATAATTTTGTTGCAAAATTCTAACAAATAAGTCTTTTCAGTTTCCTATTATATATTCTGGTGGTTGACTAAACTGTTAATTATGTTATACAAAGCTTTTCTTATGTAATGAAATTTGCTAATTTCAACAACACTAATATACATATTTTCATGTCCTGAATAATAGTAGTGAATAGTAGTTCACAATACTATGAATTTCTGATGTATTTTTTATTCACTTCCATCGTCGAAAACATTTGCTAATAATAGGAATTTAATTTTTATTTCAGTGTTTAAATATTCTGGTTGCTATGGTAACGTCATTATTCGTAAAATATGATTTTGTCCAAAAAATTGGAAAGCTTGTATTCCCTTGTTTCTAAATATATGGGGGTAGCTTACCAAAATGTTGACTGGAAAAGGGTGAACATTCATGTAGAAGCAAAATGACAGATTTTTCTTAGTGCCATTAAAAAATCCTGGAAGTTAACACACAGTGTTGTAAGACCACAGCGGTGTTGGTGAGGTCCATGAAAGTTACCATGTAACACCACAACGGCTAAGCGAGGTACGTGAAATTTACCTGAACAGTGTGTGCTAAGTCACCAACTTGAAGATCGCGGAGTCGACAAACTGTGCAACACCACACCATTAAAGTGGGGTACATAGTAAAAATGTCATGTGACGTAGATATTTTATTTTCTACGTAGAATCCGGGGTCGGCTAAGCGAGGTAACGGGGGAAAGTACCTCGCATTTTTTATACCCCACTTAGTGACTGTGTTGTCCTCTCTCTTTGTCCCCCATCACTAAAAAGGCATGTACAGGACAAACGTATCAATACAGGCACCTTGTCTCTTTTTTTTTCGTCTCATTTGAACCGTCACAGTTTTGTAAATATTCCTGATAAATGCGTTTTTGTCCAAATTCTACCACAAGGGGGATTTCTAATTGTTAGGTTACGTTCTATTGTCAGTATATTTATCTTGAAATAAGTCCAGATGCTTGTAACGCTTAGGGAAACGTGCGTTATCGTCAATAACGCATTAATGAAGTCTTGAAAAAAATACGCGCGATAGTTTTTGATTAAGCTGTTTTATGCTGAGAAGTTTATTAGTAATTGTTACTTTTACACATAGCGGGAAATACTTGTCCTTTGAGATATATACAGAGTTACTGTTCTTGGCGAGTGAACAGTTTCTTGTGCATGAAAGCCCGAGTTTGTTGAGTTTTCCGTCCGTTGTTCGCTATCGATGAAAAATTAACTCTATTACTTACGGCGAATTATAGTTGAAGTATTTATTGAAAATGTACAATTAATTTCTAATTTAAAAGCAAACGGAATTTCATCGTCAAAAAAGGTTATCGTGAAGTCAGGAGATAGTCCGTGACTGTATACCGAGAGTACGCCTTGCAGGGGTTCCCCTGGTTTCGCGTTTATAACTTTTCTTTTTCTCAGCCAATCGCATATTACTTTTGAAATGACGTAGGACGATTATCCATCATCTTATTATACCAACCAATGAAATCGCTTGAATAAAGCAAATGTCGTCATTTCGATCTTAGAGTCGGGAAATTCCAACAAAGGGAATTTCTTACCCCGGTATTTGTCACGACAAATCCAGAGCTTCGCATGCTAAAATATGAGCGCATATGAGTTTTGAATAATTTCTTGATATTAAAACAGTACACTTACTTCACAATAAACGAGAAAGAACTTACGAATAACATGAAACTGTGTCTCCGTCCGGGCGACGAATTCGGCTTGAGCGGGCTCCTATCATGCTTAGCGTTGTAGTCAAGAACGACAACTCAGTACCACTTCAAGTTCGCGGGAGTGTTAATATTTCATGATATGTCTTCTCCTGTGTAACAAAGATAATAGATTTAGTCTGTAAAAGAAACCCTGTTATTAGATAACTAGGAGAATTGACGAAAGAGCAAATGTACATTTTCTAGCTAAGTGAATTAAGCAAATACCATTAAACCGACAAACCAAATTCCCTGTAAAAGTAATGATTGAAATAGCTGCCAGGAACTGTTATACACATGTCATCAACAAGATGCCTTTGTTAAATTGATATCAAAAGATGAAACGCGCTACCTCTAAAAATTATGACTTCAATTGTTTCAAACAGCAACCAAAAAATATTTCACATGAAAAAGGTAGTAAGATTTTCAATATCAGATATTAAGAATATCAAATGTCTGATAGAACAAAATATTTATGTGAAA